TAATAGATGACACTTCTAAAGGGTTTGGGAGTCATTTCAACCTTTTTTGATCGCTTGAGGCAATGCTTTTGTAAATGGGATTCATAGAACTTTAGTATAATAAAAGTCCCTTCTTCTGATTCTTTGTCAAGCATGAATGTCAACTTCATCTTCTTTATTATCCTCAGTGAAAAACACAAATCCATTCCCCGTTTGTTGTCGCGGAGAAACCACATCCCCCAACTGACAAGCAGTGTTAAGAAATGATGAATCACCTTTTATACAAACACAAAGTCATTCATTTAACTTTGAATTAAGCTAATACCGCTTACTCCAAAATACGCTTCATTATCTCCTCATAAAGAAAAAACTGTTCTGTCCAATATGGTGTCATATCAGTGCTCAGTGTGCTGTGTTGTAGTAAAGTGATGGAAGAACTGCCGTGCTGTAACTGAAGAGGGGTTCAAACAGAGGGCAGCATCGCTCTGCCTGCTGGGAGGCCTGTCATGCCATTTGACCCTTTTACCTTTTAGTGCTTTAATGGAAGAAGAGTCTGCGGCACAGGAGAGGGAGATTCAGAGACACGAGAGGAGGGTGTTAAAGCTCGAGTCAGACATAACACTTGCAAGATAACACTTGATTGTCGCCGTTAAACTTGAATGTAAATGCGGTGTACGGTAGCAGGAGTTGTAGCACACACAGAGGCAGCTTTTCTAACCAGAGCTCTCCGTAGCTGCAGCTCTTGAGGTTAATTGGGTCGGACATCGTCTGCATATTTGACTAATCCAACGAAGAGTCTGCATTCTTGCAGCAGCACCTCCACCTCCATTATCTAATCTCGACTCGCCCACTAACTCTATTTAAACTCTGCCGGCTGCGTTTACACTGTGACTGAAAGTGCAGAAAACAACAGAGAAGCGATATGGCACCGAACCGAGTTTTTGGAATTTGGAGGCGGAACATGGCGGAGCAGAAATGAATCACTGTGATAAGAAAACGCGTCTCGTTAGGAAGAATCCACATGTATCAAGTCGTCTGTTATCCAATGTGTGGTATTTGTTTTTCTAAATGCCACAGTCTCTGTGTTTTTCTACCTTCTGGCAGTTTTAAGCTGCCGTGGACTCAATAACTGTACTCTGTCATAGAGTGTTTGTGCAGCGGTGAATAATGTAAATGCAATATTAAGTACATGAAAGCAGTCTCTATAGTAATCTCAAAGGACTGTTATATTCAAGTAGAAGAGTGGGGCCTACAGTAGAAAAGACATATACCAAGCATAATAGTTAAAAATATAAACTCACCACCACTGTATACATTTGTGTGAAATCCACCTAAAGTCCAGTATTCACTCTTTTTCTCTGTTTTGATCCTAATAATAATAATTATAATAATTACAATAGTAACAATACACTTTTATAATGTGCTTTACAAAAAAAGGAAAATGAAACGCATTTAAATGAGGGCCAATAGACTTTAAATAAATTAAACAATAAAAAGATAGTCGATGCGATAATATATAATTTAAATTAGGAATAATAAAAATGAGAGAATTAGTAAGAACAAATAAATAGTAAGTCGTTTAAAAATGGAATGTGCCATAAAACCAAAACATGGACTACAAGAAGCTAAAAACGTGTTTAGTGTCATTATGAGCGACTCCCTCCACATTATACACATTTGATTCAGTGTTACAGTGAGATGAAAACATTATTAGTGGAGGATTAATTATTTTTCGAATCAATTTCAATTAAATTGATTTGAAATTGTTCGTAAAAATCTTTGGTTGTTATTTGATTCCTACTCCTGAAAGTAAATACAATGAGGTGTTTGGAGTGAGACTATGCTGTCGGTGTCACTCCAAACACACACGTAACATTGAAAGAAAAACACAACACCTTGTTCAGCTCACAGTGGGGCTCACACACACACACACACACACACACACACACACACACACACTGCGAAACAAGGTTTACACATTCCCTCACAAGGTGGCCAGGTATATTTGTTTGTGCAGGTCTTTTATGACGGTTTTGCGACTCGGGGTATGACTGCTGTGTTTGTGCAATAATACGGTGCAGTTGTGGGTGTGTGGGGGAGGTTGATGGTGTTTGGGGCCGCGCAGAGCGCTGCTCACAAGAAAGACTCGTTGTGCAGCGAGTGTTTTTAATGAATTGCTGAACAAATTGGTTGTTTGAAGGTAACAGCACAGGCACGTTTGTGTGCGGGGGTGTGTGTGTGTGTGTTCAAGGTCAGGTTTGCTCGGTGAACAGCTATCAGATATAGAAAACAGCTCACGGGAGTTTAGGGAACATTAGCTGTGCTTCCATCCAAGTAGTTTTATGTGATTAAGGAGGTATTGAATTAGAAACGCTGAGTGGAAACATGGAACATTTTGATAAAACTGACGTAGATATTGCAATGGCAGGATAGTGTTTGTTTTAAAATATGTGACAAAAAGACTATATGTGATTAAACAAGCTCTCGGGATGAATGTTGGTGATTGAAACGACTGAAACGACAACGTCTTTGAACGCCACACCTGTATTTCGTAGTGTTCCATTGCTCAAGTGTAAGTTCAGTCAGGAAGTAACACATTGCAGCAAAAATAAGAAAATTGTAAGGAGGAGATTAGCTGCATTTAAGATGCTTTAGTTAAACTTCCGCTGTGCCCCTTGGATCTCACTTAGTGCTCTTTGCTGTCTGTCGTCCTTCATTTCTCTCTAGCAGCACGCATTGGCTCGTACACTCCTTAGTTTTTATGTGGCAGTAAAAGACAACAGAAATGTATCGATTAACACTTTTCATTTAATGGCGAATGTTTGTGTATCCGGGGAAATAAACTCCATCCAAATATACTTAACGAGCTGAGTTGAAACGAGTTGAGTTCTCTCTGTTGCTGCCTCGCATCACATTTTGGCTCCCCGCTCCGCTCGCCCTCTGTCAGTCGGCTCTTTTTAACAAGCCTTCCTCCGGGTTCCTCTGTAGGTCAGCGCTGTACGGGGGTCTGCAGAGCAGCGTGATCGATATGAACACATCAAACACACACACACACACACACACTCCTAGTAGAAACCAGCTGACCCAATGTAGAAACAAGCTTGTGGTGTGTCTCTCTGTCTGCGGTCTCCTGACCTCTGACCTCTGTGTGTTTTACATGTTGTGTGTATGCACCGTGCGTGTGTGTGTGTATCTATGTACCTTTTCTTCTGTTTCTTTTGTGATGATGTTGTTACAAAGGTGTGTTCAGTTTAGTTAAGCATTGAATGCATCAAAGTAAAACAGCTACAGACTTGTTCTAGTGATCGATGCGTGTCTGTCCAACCAGCCCATAATAACACTTTTAATTCACATTTAGTTGCATGTCCGTGTGCACGCGCTCACTGTGTAACACCGATATCTGTCAAACTCGGTGAATGTTCTGCTGCCTCCGCAATGTTTCACTGTTTGCCAGCAGCTTCGGCTCCAGTCTCATAAAACACACGATCAGTCAGTGATTGGGTAAATAGAAGGGCATCTGTTACAACAAATTCAATTAAAACTATTCATATAAAGTGAATCTGTTATTTCCTCCCAAGTAAAGTGCAATTTAGAGACTAAATCGCCTAAAACTGAAATAAACAGGAATATGCAATTAACCTGTTTTAATAAGAAATCTGCAAAACAAAACAAAAAATCTATATTCTCCCGCCCTACTTAATGTGTTTTAGAAAAAGATACTGTGAGACTCATATTTGCCTTTTTGAGAATCTGCTCTTTGTGTCAGTAGCTGCTCTCCGGGTTGTCTTTCATTTTAAATAAAGTTATAATCGCTTGATTCTGCTTTTCAGCCCAGAGCTGCTCGGACTGGAAGTCAACTAATTAGTACTTCTCACTGACGCGCTCGGAGGAGTTCATGTGAAAATGAGAGGTCATATAATTATAGCCCTGGAAAACCCGGGGCTCTATTCGTGTACTTGTGTGTGAGTGTATGTTTGTTTCTATGTGTGTGTATTATGTGTGTATTATGTGTGTATATGTGTGTGTATATGTGCGTAGCTGGCTATCCATATGAGGTTCTGTGTTTCGTAGTTTTAATTGCATGCTCAGCCTTTTGCGACCCGACCTCACTTACATTCTTTAAATGCCAATATGATGAAATAGAACTTAAACTCTTCTGGCTCTAGCCCTAAATTATATATTATACTTCTCGCCTCGGGGACCAAAATACATTAAAGTAAAACTCTTTTGTGTGAAGAAACAACTGAAGAAACAAAAACCAATACTTCGAACAATAAACTAGAAAAGTACTCTCTGCAAAAGCATTCCTGTCCTCCTTAATCTTCTTGAAAGAGCTCAAAACCCCTTTTTTATTTGCAAACTTTACCTCTTACTACAACAGGAAACACCACAATCAATTAAACAATTAACTCACAGTAGGTATCCTTCTGTTTTTCACTAGATAATAATAGTAATTTAACACTGCACAAACATCAATAAACAGTTACCTTTCCCACACTTGGCACATTCCGGCAAGGAAAGAGAATCCTAATTGGCTCGGTGTGGTTTTTCATTTCCTGGTTGTAAAACAGAGCTCGGCTGCGGTCGAATAGTTAGGAAGGTTCCCGGAATGACCCGGAAGTATCTCAGTGGCCGGCATGATACAAGCTGTTCGAATTCTCTAAATGCTAAGGAAAGGTGCTTCAATGCTTCCTTTATTAGCTCCTTTAGCATAGGACACACTGGACCTTCCTTTACGAAAGGAGAGTAGATAATTCTGCCCCACAGTTCATTACGTCGGCAACATTTAAAGGCATGCAAACGATATGCTTATCTTGCACATCTTGCACAGGTTTAACAACTATTTTCATACAGTTTTCACAACAAATATGTTAACTTGATCGTGTCTCTAAAACAACACAAACATTAAGGAATTAACCAGCACGTCACCAAACAACACACACTTCAATACTGAGGGATGTAATGAGTGTGTGTAAGTCACTTTGAGGATTAACTCTGATGTGTCTTTGTTTTCTCTCCAGCATGTGGAAGGGCCTGAATGTCAACTGCACAGACAGCACAGGATACACACCTTTACATCACGCTTCACTTAACGGACACAGGTAAGGCTAATATGTATATGTGCAAGTGTCTGGTGTAAACTTTTTAACATGTGGTGGAGCGAGTAACGAGAAAGTAAAGAGTTTTCAAAGACCACGGTGACTTGTTGAAAATAAGCAGCAATGAGGACATCCCAAGGAAACAATCGTGAGCCCGACTGTGGAGTTGGCAGAAGCACTGAGCCCTGCTACCCTGCTCGTAAGAAGCCACATTATCCCAGCTCTTCTGCACGTCTGCACTGCATTTTATGCTCCTGGTAGTTTTGCTATTGTTGCACTCTTCACTCGATTTTCTGGTGGAATGTCCTTGTAACTATTGGATTCTCGCAGAATACTTTCTGCTGGAGGTGAAGGGAGCTGAGTGGTTTTGGTTTGACACGGTTGCTCAGTCAACCATGTTTTTCTTTTTTTTTTTTTTTTTGTTCGGCCTTAGTCTAAAAAAATTTTGTTTTGGAGACCGGGCCCCTGGTGATAACTCTTTGTAGTTTCACGACCAGCAGTCCCATTCACACTCATGAACATCTCGATTAGAGACATTTTAGATGAAGATCAATAGTCAAAAAATACTAAATTGCAGACACAGTATTTCTGTGTTTCTCTGTGTGACTGCTCACTACAGTGCAGCTCCCTTTTCTCTCACCTGGGCCTGCTGAGAAATCCGTTCCACAGTGTGGATTAGCTGCAAGCCCCGGACCACTATCCCAGCTTGGCACAACTGAAGGATTAGTGCTGTGATTTCAGGGGGCAATTATGTGGATTTCCTCCTTCAGATCAACCCGAGAGGAGAGAAGGGAGGGAGAGGGGAAAACTGCAGCCTCCGAAGTGAAAATTGGGACGCCAACAAAAAAGCTCCAGAAGGAATGATTTAAACGTTTAGGTGGGAAAGTAAAAAGAGAACTGGCAATTAAGATAAAGACAGAGGGAACCGGGCAACAGGCTGTGCTGTATTCAGAGCTGTTTTATTCCGGCTGGGTTTCAATTGTTTTTTTGAGATGATTTTAATCATGCAGTTGTTGTTTTTACCACATAAAAAGCCTTTTTGGTGATGCAAGCTCAGCAGGCTCAATCAACTCAGCAAGAAACCGAATATTCTCATATTTGACTGTGAGATCCTCAGTGTGGTTCTGCTGTACTGCCATTTAACTGCCAGTGAGTTGTATAAAAATATGATTAATTATTTATTATCAAAGCAGTTCATTTAGGCGTCTCAGTGCTGCTCTCACCCCTGCTCCTGGGAGAGGTGTTGCCCTTCTCTCTCCTCTGTGTCCCCCCCCTGACATTTCGAATGCAAATGAAGCACTTCACCTTTCCTCCTCCTCGGAGAGAGATGACAACTCCAGCTGCAGACTTCCTATTAAGCAGCGTTGCTGACATTAAAACTTGAGCAGCAGCTAAATGGACTTCCGGCACAAACCCAGGCACTATGATTCGTGTAATAGATATTACTTTATTAAGAGAAAAATGAAGTATTCGTGGGGTAGCTCTGCTTTCTCTCTCTCTCTCTCTCTCTCTCTCTCTCTCTCTCTCTCTCTCTCTCCATCCATCCTTCGATCTGTTGATATATTGACCTGTGTGAATATCTGTCTCTCTCAGGCAGGTGGTGCTAAAGCTGCTCCAGTTCGAGGCGTCCACCAACCTGGCTGACAGCAAGGGTTGCTTCCCGCTGCACCTGGCCGCCTGGCGGGGAGACGTGGACATCGTCCGCATCCTCATCCACCACGGACCCTCGCACGGCCGGGTCAACCAACAGGTAAACACCGTGATCCCGTCGTCATCCTCTTAAATAAACCTTCGTCTTCACGGGTCTGTACGGGTCAGCTCTAAATGACTCGGGCCCTGACCTCGGACATATCTTTGGGAGCAGAGACTTATAAGACTCATAAGAGCGTCGTTAAAACTCCACATCTGTATTTCTGTAGCTTAGAGAAGCTGTTGTTAATAAAAAAATATACATAAATCTGACCTGTCTTCATGTTGTAGCCCTCTTAAATGTTAAATGATCAATTGTGGCTGGAAAAAAACCCACTTTCCCTGTGTGCTGTAAGTGCTCCAGAAGTCAGTTCTATCAGCCAAATTAAAGTTGAGTCCTTGCGTTGTATTTCTCGGGGCATTTAAACCGGCGCTGCCACCGGCCGTCTCCTTTTGGCTCCCGTCCAACAGAGCCGGCTCTTTACAGATCCCAGTGATCTCTCTCTGACAGCCGGGTGAGCGGTTCAGCTCTGGGAGCGTTCAGCCTGCCACTGCTGTCATTCCTCATCAGCAAAAATGACCTTCTCCTCCCTCCCTCGCTCCTTTTTTTTCCTGTCCATCTCTGCTTGCAGCATGTTGATGATGTCACGGCTCGTCATTTTTGAGTATTGATGGCTCAGACGTCTTTTTAAATATTCCTACTCCTGATGGCGGTGCAGTAACGGACCTCCCCGGGTTATTGGAGCGTTATTTACTCTGCATAATAAGCACATTTTCCTCCGTCACCATTAGCCAAATCGTTTCCCTCTGAGAGTTGTTAGAGCCGAATTGTTTCCCGTGATAAATGGTGTCCCTTGCCCCTGAAATGAAGAGGGTTGTCAGCGAGTGAACACACTGATCGGGCTGCTGTGCAGGCAACACACAAGATGCTGATTGAGAGGATACTGTATGTGCTGACTTACGTGCACAGTTGATGTGTGTGTATGTGTGTGTGTGTGTGTACTCTTATATGTTGCCCATGGAACATATAGAGTACATGTCACGTGTTTTGACTTTTTCAGTTTGCGATACGGCGTGCAAAACATTCCAGTTATTTAGGTCATTAGTGCGTCTGTGTTTTCTTTTTCTACAATAACTCTGTGTTTATGTGTAGGAGGCAGGACTTACTTACAAGACTGATGCTGTTGTGTCTCGATTATTTGGTGGGGTATGCACATAAAGATGATGCGTGTTACATGCTGCATACACAACATATGCAAAGATACAAGCCGTGACTGCAATGCATCACAGTTTTGAGTTTATTGAGTAACGAAAGGCCGACGAACATCAGTGTGACAAAAACCAAGGACGGGTGCGTTAACATCAGACGTCACCACCCAACTCCTGCAACCTCTATAATTAACAGACTAGATGTAGTAGTTGGGCGCCACAATTGACATTAAGTTGACCTTTGATAGGAATACAGATGTGCTGAGTGAGAACGGCCAGCATCCTCTTTTTTTCTTCTTCTTTTGTCTGAGAAAGCGAGCCAAGTTTCAGATTCACGGATCCCCGATGACGTTGTTTTATAAATCATTTATTGAGTCGGTTTCCAGTTTTTCATTTATTTGCTAGTATGCATCCATCAACCTCAAACAGAAAAGGTCATTAACAAAAGTCAGCAGTGAAATTGTCAAAGGATGTCCAATCCATCATATATGTCCCCTTGAACTTAGAACTTCAACTCCTGCCCTCTGGTCCTCACCAGCGTTTTTGTTATCCAGTGTGATTTGATATGTGTGGTTTTTATCTAGCATGTCTTGCTCTGAGTTGTTGTTGTTTTTGTTTGTTTTTTATTGCTACTGCGGCACAACCAATTGCCCCTCAGGGACAAATAAAGGACTTGAGCTTGAATTTCATAGATGTAAATTCACATAATTATTGTGAAACACTTCATTCATTAATAAAACTTGTCCTGGCAGTGAACACAGTTGAGAGCAAAATAGATAACAATACCATTTCTCATGACGCGTAGATATTCAGATCGTACAGAATCCCACTGGTTAGGCTGGAAGTCAGCTTGTTTTGGGGAAAGGAAGCGTTTTACATTCTCACATGACACCTCACTAGTTAAATCATCTAATTACACTGATCAGCTTTCCTCGTATCTCTCTTTGTATCATACATCTCATTTTGCGCCTTTTTTATCAACGGGCTGGAAATGACTGGTTTTATCTGCCCTGTTATTATCACTTTTCATCTCTCCTTCTTTATAATGAGCACCAGTGAAAATGCTTCAGAGCTCAGATTCTAAAGCCTCTGCTGTGTCTCACACTGTTGTTGCACACGGATGCAGCAACGCACAAAGACTCCAGCAGGACCGCGCTTTCACAATCTTAAAGGTGCAGCGTTTATTTTCGCCTTACGAGGGAGGCGCTGCATTTTGCAGAACACCGGTGTAGCACCGATTTTAAATGATGGTACCTGTGTATTTCATAATGCCCGTATGATGCATATTCGTACAGTGGTCTTGCAGTTATGTGTCGTCGATGTGATACAGTTGTTCTCGGCTTGCGGGCATAAATCTGAAAGCAAGATTTACGGGGCGTTCGTGTGTTTACGACGCCTGAGCTCCATATCTTCCCGCTGTCTGTCTCGTCTACTGTAGAAGGCAGAGCCTGCATACATTAGTCAGGTTGATATACGGAATCCCACACAAGCTCACACCCATCACCGAGACACACAGCAGCAAGCCGTCGGCTGCACACTACGATATTACTCTGCCCACGCACACCATTGCTCGTGTCAGAGGTTGAGTGCATGAGTGTCTCTCCAGAGGGACACACTGTTATGCGTCTTCATAATGTGCTCTTTTCTTACATGAGTGAGAGAAACGCAGTATTTGTGCTCACCTTTTGTACATCGGGGGACAAATAGCAACACGAGACTGTGGAAAAGGGTGCAGGAGGAAGCTGTGATGAGTGTGAATGTTCTTGAGAGCGGAAAGGAAAAACGKGGGAGAAATTGATGGAAATAGAAGAAGGGGAAGTGTGTAGGTGGGCCAGTTAAAYGCTGCAGCCAATAGCGGATTAATCAAGGTTAGTGGATGATATTAGTTGGCGGTAAACCAGTTCCAGCYCACAGTTTACTGCCTAATTGGTCCCAGTAGTTCCCATTCACAGCTGTTTTTGTTTATTGTGGGAGTGTGATGATCCTTAAGAATCTACAGAGTCTRCCGATYCTYTAAACGSCCTAMGGAGTCTGCCGATCCTCAAACGCCCTACGGAGTCTGCCGATCCTCAAACGCCCTACGGAGTCTGCCGATCCTCAAACGCCCTACGGAGTCTGCCGATCCTCAAACACCCACGGAGTCTGCCGATCCTTCTGCCTCGGAGTCTACCATGGAGGTGAAAGGTCAGAACAAGCACCGGTTGGTCGTCACCCTGGTCACAACGAGACTGATGATGAAGTGTGACGCTCCCCAGAACCACAGCCGAGAAGTGTGGATCTCCCACACGAAGCGACCGTTAAACAATAGAAGGGATTCGCCATCACCGAAGGCCCGGACTACCGGAGCAAACAGGAGCAGCTGGAGTTAACTTTCAAATAAAGAGGAAGAAGCTTCCCCTCTGACCTGTTTTCCTAGACAGCTGGGCATAAATCATCACATCCCTTTAAAGGATCCTTGAGTCCCACCGCGTCTGTTTCCTGTATTGAACTGAAAATGATGAGAGCGATAGGAGTGACTGAGCCTTCACCCGGTGCGTGTTTTTACTCATTCTACATTTCTAAAGCAGTAAAGTGAGGGTTCGTCTGGACTTTAGAGAAATAAAAAGGAGTAAGTCAGCTGCTCAGGGGCAACAGGGCTAACCTTGTTAAAAGGCATTATGAGTACCCAGGGCCAAGTCAAGAGCTACGTACTAAAGAGAGCAATGACATTTTATCTTTTGTGCACTTAGAGCTCATCATTCTTCCTTTGGACTTCATGACTCACATTAGCATTTTTAAGAAATGATGATGAAGTCACAGAGTGGCACAGCATCCTATAAAGTGGTCGACAGTTCCACCTGTCTCATCTGACAGAAGTGTCCTCTGTACACCGCTGAGCCACGTCTTTGGAAGAGCCATCTTGAGAAACTTCTAGTTGCATTCGAGGATGCTCCAACATCTGAGAATCGACCGCTGAATAGCATCACGTTCAAAAGCTCTGCTGTGGCACCAATCACATCTCGATGAGTAATAAGCAAACACACTGTAGATGCAATGAAAGGAATAATGTGAATGTGGTTGTTTGACAACTTTATGTCCCATATTTATGCAGCTACATAACACATAACTCTACAACAAAAACAAAGACCTCAAGCTAGTTTCAGTTTAATTTCAGTGTAAGACGCAGCCAGCTGTGTCCCTTGCTCAGAGACTCTTTGGCCCCAGGATTTAAACCAGCAGCACTTGTGTTGACCGACGAATGAAGACACATTTTACCCCGAGGCAATTGCCCACAGCACAGCTGGATTATATAGATTATTTTGCTTGTGCCTGACCGTGACAGGGTAAGGGACAGCTGAGGGATGTAGAGCAGATGTGGGGGGGGAGGGGGGGAGAGGGAGAGAGAGAGAGAGAGAGAGAGAGAGAGAGCGCGCCAGCAGAACAACCTCTGGGCTTCCTCTGTTCGGGGCCTCTGGACTCGTCAATTTAAGAGCTATTCTGTGTGTGTGGGTGACTGACTAGGTCAAGTATTTCCCCCTGTGCTGCAGATATACCCCCGGAATGTTTTCTTTCCCATAAACAGAAGGACTCTCTCCCCTCTTGTCTTTCTATGTTTCCTAACTCGCCCTTTGTAATCTTAAAGGGACAGGACGGAGATCAGCAGCACAGAATCAAGGGAGATAATAAGAGAGCTTAGAAGGAGCGTTGCGTCATCTGTGCCACAAATGTGGCGTGCGCATGTGCGAACACATGCATGCATGAAATACTTCCACTAGGCTTGTTCTCCAGGTGCCGCACGGCCTTCTGGGAGTCCAGAGGCTGTGTGAACTAAGACAAAGGTAAAAGGCCATGAGGTTGCTCAGCCTGCTGTGT